AGATTAGATACTAGGGGGAAATTATTTACTCAGAGGGTGGTGAGGTTTATGGACATAAGGGGCCCAGAGAAGCTGTAGATGCCCATTCCTGGAGGTGTTCAGGACCAGGTTAGATGGGGTCCTGGGAAATCTGATGTAGTGGGTGTCAACACTGCCAATTGGCAGGGGGCCGGAGCTCAAGGGTCGTTATGGTCCCCTCCAACCTAAGCCATTCTATGATTCTATGATCTGAACTTGGAAGCCAGTTCTAAGAAAGAGTACTAAGAACAAGATCAGAACAAAAAAAAACCCCTTGTTTTATCACAAAAATCTATAAATAAAAAAATATAATGTATTGACTCTCCAGTGTCTCTAGTAGAGCTCAATCAGCTGTGATCAGAATTAGTCTCAATTCCAATGCATTTGATTAGGAAAGAATAAGGAGACAGTTTTAACAAAACAGAGGAAGAGTCTCCAGTGCTATTGCTACAGTTGGCAAATTCACACAAGAACAGAAGGCACAGTACCTATAACACCTGAGAAGATATTCCCTCGTAAAAAATTAAAAATGTAGTAGTAAAATCAGTTTGAATGACAACCACATTAAGAGTTGTGACTTTTAAGCTTTCCTTAAACAACAGGATTCTACAAGGAAGCAGCAAAATGCCATGGGATTTTAGCCCAGTTAAATGAAGGTCTGAATGGGGAGGCCAGTCATGCAGTGGGACAGAAAGTGGTGATATCTGTGTGGTGACCACCTCTGGTTTCATAAGGACCATGTCTTGCTATTTGGCCTGAAGCAAGCATGCTGCTTTGTCTGCAGGCTTGGGCACTGTTGCGAGGGAACAACTGAAAGAGATGAAGTCCTGGGGCAGTAACTAAGAACTGATGGTATGGCTGTATTCATGCTTATTTTCAGCTCAGACCTGTGAGCAGGCCTCATATAAGATATATTTACAGTGGTGTAACATATGCTGACCTTGAGAACTGGTAAGCACCCAACTTTCAGTGGTTTCAGTGGTCGTATTGACACGAGTAAATGAGGCTTATCCACAGCCAAAGCATTTGAGCTGGACTGCATATATTTCTTGCAAGATACTTCATTTTAAGAAGGAACAAGAAAACTCACGTTTGAAGTTGATAATCTGTTAACACACTGCAAAATGCCAGAAACACCAAGATTAAAAGGGCAGAAAAGACACAATATGTTTGTCACGTGATACAGTTATCAGGAAACATTTTAGAAAATTTTCCCTCCAAAAAGCGTGGTTCACCAAAAACAAAGCAATTTGCCAGGAAATGTGTTAGATCATTTTCCATTAAAAAACAACAACAAAATAAACAGTTTAGAAATTGCTGAACCATTATATTTATACATTGTCAATATGAAAAAGATTTAATCTAAAGTTCAAATATTTTTTTCCAAATTCTGTGTACAAAATGTGTACAAAAAAATCAAAATCAAAATGAAATATTTTACAATTATTACTATTAAAGTTGATTTGATTCACCTACTGATTAGACCATTTTCTTATAGCAGCTAATTGTGAGCCCACAAACAAAGTCTCTCAATTATGGCAAAGAATAGGTATGTGAAAGATATAATGCTGGCAAGATTTAAAAGAGGTATTAAACACAAAGAAAAAAAAAAAAAGTTCTAAATAGAGATAAAATATAAAGCAGGTCATCTCTAATTTCTTCTGGGTGAAATAGAATGCAGTGCACTTGTTGGACCCCAGAATACTACAAACAAGAAGGGTATAGATGCTTGGAAAAGGATGTTCTCGCAAAACTGTCAGTGAGTAGCCAACAAGAGTATCATATATATACAACAGCTCACACAACTGTACTCAGTACCTGGCAGAGGATTATATAGAAGGATATTGCCTAAATTAACTATAGAGGACAGATTTGTTGCACTTGAGGGGGGGTCTGTGAGTTGTCTTCCACATCTGGTGGTCAAGGAAGCATCTCTACCTGCCAATATGCCACTTTCCTCATGTCCTTACATGCACAACCCAAAAAAACTGGCGTCTCCCTCAGTTGGGTCATTATTTTATTTTTGAACTGATAAGAATACTACCAATCAACAAGTACTCAGAAGTCAACAGGTAGCAAGGACGTAAAATGCCCAGTAATTAAAGAATCTATTTTTCAGTAAGTTACTTATTTGTCTTACTCTGAGTTCCTGAGAAAATAGACTTTTTGCACAAAAAAATGTATGTACAGAATGTTAAGTGAGGTCACGGAGCTGGACTCTGATGTGAACAGTCAACTCATGACAGTGACCACTAGCAATAGACTGTGAATTAAGTAGCAAGGTAGTATTCATTTTGCACGTTTTCACATGTGAATGTCTGTAGTTTGGTGAACATTTCTAAGCTTGATATTGAATGTCATTTTGCCAGAAAATAAAAGGATTAATAACAGTCATGTGGTAAAATTCTACCTCTTGGGCAAACAGTGGTCTAAATGTGATATAATATTAAAAGTATATGTGCATGTTGGTAGCATACTTGTAAAAATAGTCACTGGTAGCTTTGTATCAAAATAGAATATTTATACTAAACTCTTTAAACTAAACTGTTATTACAATGTAAAAAAGTATTATTAAACATTTGTTCACATTAAAAAATCTGCTGTTCCAACAACCAATATTTATAAGTTCAGCATTTTCACCATGCAGTTATTGATATACTGCTCATTGGTTGTATGTTCCATTCTATCTTGAGTGTGCCTTGAGCATCCTAGATCCGGATTTTCTATCTCAGAGATACAAAAATATTCAAGCCAGAACACTCTAATTTACCAGCATTATGATTTTACTGGGTTATTATGTTATTACAGGGAAGAACATATAGGTGAACTTACTATCTTTGCTACCAAGTTTGCATTGAGTCTGGAAACACAGGCCATATGAGGAGAGGCTGAAGGAGCTGGGAATGTTCAGCCTGGAGAAGAGGAGGCTCAGGGGAGACCTCATTGCTCTCTATAACTTCCTGAAGGGAGGTTGTAGTGAGCTGGGGGTCGGCCTCTTCTCTCGTGTCATTAGTGATAGGACCAGGGGGAATGGCTTCAAGCTACGGCAGGGGAGATTCAGGCTGGAGATGAGGAAGTATTACTTTTCAGAAAGGGTGGTCAGGCACTGGAATGGACTGCCCAGGGAGGTGGTGGAGTCACCGACCCTGGGGGTGTTCAAGGAAAGACTGGATGTTGTGTTGAGGGACGTGGTTTAGTAGGAGCTATTGGGAATAGGTGAACGGTTGGACTGGGTGATCTTTTAGGTCTTTTCCAACCTTGGTGATTCTATGATTCTATGATTCTATGAGTCCCTACTGAACCTGTCAGTGCCTTTGAGAGTACTTGCAATGTTTTCTACTGCAAAATGAATTCCCAAAACCAACCAACAAAGAAAAAAAAAAAAAAAAAAAAAAAACCTGAGCACGTCTAAATGTAATGATTTATTTTAAAAATTATTTAACTGAGCACTTGTTTTTCTGACTAATTTAGCCTTTACTGAAGTATTCTAGTGTATACACACTTCAAAAGAGTGCTTCAATTCTGCTTAGTCAAAAAAGAGAGAGAGGGACTTAAATGGAAAAGCAACTTCCTTGCAGAAAAGTCCAAGAGGAAACACACGAAAAACATTTAATTTATTCACTCTTGGTATTTCCCTAAAATCAAATGTTAAGGATTAGATTCTCATTTGACAGCTGTGAGTCACATCTGCAGAAAAAAGTAAACGAAACGCATGCAAAGGTCAGGCAAAATTACACACAGTATCTAAAAAAATATTTTCATATTATTTATCAATAGTCCAAGATCCTTAGCCTAATAGATTCCAGCCTACACTTCTGAACTTCCCTAGAAGATACAGGAATCAGTAATGAGTGTAGTGCTAGCAGAAGTACTACTAAGATGAAGGCAGGCATGGCATTCTTCCCTGTTGCTTCTTCTGGAGTTGAAAAAAATTTCTTTTGAAACAGAGTTTATTTTGACAACAAAATTTCCAGGGGAAATACAAGGTCTAATGAAATTACATGCATATTAGGACAACAATTTTGCCTTAAAAATCTGTAATTAGCCAAATTAAAGGAGCTGAAATCTCCTTTTAACCACATTTTAAAGCCTAGCATCTTTTCTGAAGTTTGTTGTATTTTTTTCCCAGACAACTCAACTAACGATGCATTATATAAGCCTATAACTAAGAGTTTCTACTATTTTCCATTTTGAGCTGATCACTTTTTAGCATATTTTTCTTGTTTTCTAACTATTTGTGTACCTACAGACAAAGTAAAAATTAGAAGATGCATTTTATATGTCCAGGTTTGAAAATTAGGATAAAGGAGCTAAAATGTAATGCATTAGGGTGACATTTACTTCACTGCATTACTGAGAAACAAAACAACAACGGCAGTACCATCTTACTGTAACTTTCTGGTAGCAAATCAATTTGCCAGCAATGAGCCACCTCTCATCTGTATGAAATAAATGTTATTTTTTGTCTAGATAGATTTTGCATGTTTGCCACAGATCAGCTATGAACTACTTACATAAATCCTATGAACACAGTATGAACATAAAATGCTACCATCTGCTGTTTAAAGACACCTCAGTTTTAAAGCTAGGGTATTTATGCTCCCAACCTTTTTATCATCTGAAAACCCATCAATAGCTTCATAATGATGAATGCAACGTAGACCAGTTTGCATTTGCAAAATTCACTTTTAGAAATGGCAGACATGGGTGAGCACATCTGGAAACCACTTTTAATTATACTTTCCTCAAGTGGGAAAGCAGTAGCTTGTGCCCATAGTGAAGCTTTTATATCTGACCACACAAATACTAGCAACCACCTGTGCTTTACACTGATTTTCATTATAGAGTATATCATATTACTACCCTATTATTCCAGAACGACATTTGAAGCCGTTGTGTGACTAAGCTGCAGCAAGTGTGGTCTCTAAAAGGCCTCTACTCTACAAAAATGTAATAAATTTGATTGCAGTTCGGGTACTTACCACTGAGGGTATCACAATGATCATGCTCCCAAGATTTGCTTCTCTTGCTCTGAAAGTCGTAAAAGATATACATTAACAATCATGATTACTGGTCGGAGAATTGGAATTTAGTGAACTAATATATACACCCAAATGAGATATTATTTGAGCTTTTGGAACTCCTTTTCAATATTTGTTTCATTCCTACTGTTACTACATGAGTGTTATAGTCAAAGACTCTGCTTCTTCAGCCATACTTCAAGATTACAAAAAGCTATTTCAACCGTGATCTCTGAGTCTAACGGTATTTCAATTCTGTTATAAATATTTTCATTGATTGCAGACAGTGAGTTAGATGATTAGGTTGGGTTTTCTAAACTTAATCTTCCTCCTCTACTTCCCCCACTCAGCACAAACCAAATGTAACAGGTTTTTTACATCACTGTTCCTATTTACTAAGAACAACAAAAAAAGATGTTTCAGATTTCCACAAAATCTTTTTCTTCTTTACAACACTCCTTGCATGTTTTGGAAGAGTATAATGTTGACATGCAAAATTCAGTATATCACAGTGGAAGGGCAAGGCTGAAAATTTGTAATGCTTAACCCCAGGAGACCTGGCACGCCCTGGGACAGTCTTGTCAGAAACAGACACCAGTATGTGCAGTTTTGCAAAGGGTAAAGTGCTCAGTTTTACAGACTATATTTCAGCATAATTTGCTATTCTGACTGATACTATGTGTATGTAACTAAAAAATCAAAATATTGCCTTAGAATACTTTAATCTGTTTGTCAGTTACCATGCTTAAAGGAAAGTCTTCACAATGTTTTACATCTAAAAAACCACATCCTCTTGCCTAGTGTCTTCAGCCTTTAATTCAGGAGGTAGGTTTTGTGGTAAGACACGAAGCCACAGAGGATCCCCCTCGGGATAAAACCCTTTCCCAGCACACTGCCCATGTAACCGCCTGCTGCCAAGATTTCTGGAACTACAGCTGCATGAAGAGCATCCCACTTTGGGAGAGGTTCACAGCAGAGCTGATGTCAGAATTGCGAGGCAGTCTTTTCTGTCTGCCAGCAGGCAGAAAAGTAACCCATCTGCAATCGTGATGGCCTTGGCTTGCTTGGGCCCTCCTGCCACACTCAGCCACTCCAGTACTGCCAGCACAGAGGCATCCCGGTGCCTCCATCTCACAGCCACTGCTGCTGCCCATGGGGCTCTCCAAGCCAGAGGAAGCAGCGAGGTTCCCTGCCATGAGCCCACTTCTGGCCATCTCAGAGCCATCGATATGATTCCAGCTGGAATTTAAACTTTCACCCAACTACTATGTACTCAAATAATGTGCAGGAGTGTTCCCTGAGTTGCACAGGTAATATCTGCAAAAATATTCATATTTTAAGAGATTGAATATGCTAACAGTCCATAATCCCACAGCTGTGAAAGTATAATCTGATTGCATGTTGCAAATACATTTGTTGTACATGGCATAATATTCCTCCTACAATCATATAACCTGTGGTTAGCAACCTACAGACTAGGTTGCTAAAAAAATTTTTCATTTCTGTGAATTAATTAAACCTGAAAGAAAAAGGGATAGTGGTCTACTTGGAAATGCAGGCACATTGCAAATATAACTCGTTAAAGGCTTTCCAACTCAGTATGCTGGCAAGTTAAATGAAGCAATCTACTGTACTCTACAAAAGATATAAATCTGCTTTTCTATTTGAATATTAAGATGTCCTAAAATAAATGTAACTGAAAAAAAAAATGATGTCTGATTAAGAAAGTGATAGATCTAGCATGTAAATCCATTTTGTATTGGACACAGACTATCTAATGCAGCACTTCAGTAGGGAGACACTAGCAGGCAGGTAGCTGCACTTCCTGAACTCTGATGAATCTGCAGTACTAATGGAGGTAATGAAGGTCAGCTGCAAGACTAACTTTTGGAAGGGAAGAAAGACAATGAAAAAGACTGCATATGGGCAAAAAAAGGGGCTTGGGCATTTGCTCCTCTGCAAAGCCAGGGAGAGTACTCAAGCCTTTTAGTCAGCAAACCATCCTCTTTGAGGAGTGCCAGTGAAACCGAGAGAGAAGCCCAGGGAGGATGGCAGTGCCAGCCCTGTTGATGCAGCAGGGAGGGAAGGGAAAAGGTGCAGCTCCTGGCAGGCCACACCAGACCAAGCATGGGATCCCCAAAGCCACACATTCAGGGAGGGTTTTCCCTGGTGACTTCAATGGGCTGAGATCAGGCTGTTGTCTGTATGCATCTTAACTATCCCACTCATAACGCTGTCATCATGAGCTTAAGGATGTGACTGGGAAGGAGAGCAGAAATGTCTTTGAAGTCCTGAAATATATCCCGGATCCTGGATATCTGCCATTTTACAACATAGGAGCTGAACGCACTCTGCCTTAGTGGCAGGTTAGCCGTTGGGAAGCAAGGGAAAAACCCAGCACGGATACATCCTGCCTGCCTACTCCCCCCAGGCATGGGGCACTCTGGGTGCACTGGCACAAGCCCCACCTGGCTGCCAGCCGGGCGCTCTGCCCCGAGGCCCAGCCGCTGCCTGGAGAAGCACCTGGCTGAGGTACGGGTCACCCAGGCAGGCACTGTGCCTGGCCCCAGCGGTGGAAGGTCCCAACCGCCTGGAGCAGCGCTGACCCAGAGCCCTTCTCTTATGTGGAGAGAGCCGGTGGGAAGCGCTGAGGAGCCCTCACTGCTCTGTTGATCCCGCCCGGGGAGCTTGGCTGGCCTAACAGTGGATCATTGTTCTTGATTAAAAACACTATTTTTGCGCAGTAATAATTTAAAAGCCCAGCAGAATATTATTTTGTGGTTGTGGCAGCAATTTGTCAGTCAAAACAAGTGTTGTAAACTGTTCAGGTTTGGGAGAGAGTGAACAGATGAAGTAACAACAAAAACCACTGACTGCACGCGCAGCCTCTATGCAGCCGGTGCAATTCTACCTGCGTTTTTAAATCACTGGGCCATAATCACAAACCAAAATCATAATTCTAGTGAAAAACCACATATGTGCTGATGTGGAGGGATTTCATTAGCACACCATATTAGTGCATCCTGCAAGCAGTCTGCATGTTTCATTCTCCTGTTTGCAAGAATACAGAGCAATTCAAATACAAAAAAAAAAAAAAAAAAAAAACAAAAAAAAACAAACCACAACAACAACAAAAAAAAACACAACAAAACAAAATGGAAAACAGAGCAAGAAAGAAATTAAGAGAATTTCTGCTAAATTGGATTTTCTTGTCTCTTTCTGTAGTTTTTATCACCGAGATGACAAAACATTATCATTAGCAGTTTATGCCAAAAGTTAACATTCGCCATCATTTCTATTTTTTCCGAACCACAAAGGTTGGAGCCTTCTATGCACTCCCTTTATCTTCATCTGTTACTTTAGAATCTAAGAGCGCACTGTGCCCATTAATCTTTCATGGCAGAGTTCACTGAAGTTCTGCCAAAATTCAATAACTATATTCCATCCAATGCAGCAATTTATTTATCTCATTGCTGGAATTTAGAACATATAGAAGAAAGTGCTTAGTTTACATGAATGAAAAGTTTGCTTCAAAAACAACAACAAAAAACTGCCCGGTTTCATTTCTAAAGTTTTAAAACGTGCGGTAGAATCTATAGAAGAAAAAAGCTATTTCTGCAAGTCCACATGCTATCATGATAAAGTAAGAAGTGTTCTACAATGTTAACTCTTTTCATATAATTTACAGTATTTTACAAATACCTTTGTAACTTCTATTCAAATGTATAATGACACATATTTATACTGTACTACTAAAACATGCTGTTCACAAATGTCTAACAGTCATTAAAAATGTCAGCTACAAAAAACAATAATTTATATTTTAAATGTAAAATTCCTTTTTTTTGTTTACTGCAGTAGAATAGTGTTCTGAGCAGTAAAATCTAATATACAAAATTAGAGAAAAGTTAAGCTTTATAATTGTACTCCTTCATGATATGTTTGCAAACAAATAGAAAACATAAAAACCTCCCAGTAGGAAGATTCGAGACACATTATTTCGGACAGCTGTTAAAAATAAAAATGCCATAATGCAGATTACTTAGTATGTTTCACCTTTTATAGTCTCAGGAGAAGTAGCTAATCAGTCTTTTTCCAGCCTAGCTGCAATAAAATATTAATCTACTGGCTTAGTATTGAAGAACAGAATATAGTATCTATATATTTTCAGCTTTATACCTTGAAATTTATGAATGCAGACTGTTTATTTACGTGATAGAAATGTGACTTGTGCATATATTCGTACAGAAAATATATTTCCTGATGTAGAAAAGCCCTAATTTAGTACACGCAATCAAAAGCCAAATTTATAATGTGGTAAGATTTATGTAAAACTCTCTGTTACTTCATATATTAAATTTTACACTTCGGGCATGCTATCAAGACAAAATTTGACTCCAGATTTAAAAAGCCTTCAAAAAGTTTTTGGAGCATAACTTGCTTTGATTTATAACAAAGCTCTTCAACAACCAAAACAGAACCCAAAACCTCTGGAGCTAGTGCACTAGCAAGCGTTCGTTATTTCGCAGTAAAACCTCCTAGGTAAAACTAGGAATACCACAAGAAAACATGTTACAGTTATAGTTTTGCAGTAACTAGATGAGCATATGCATATTTGAAATTAAGTGCACCTAATTTAATAATTCATGAGAAATTACTTCCACACATTGGTAAATAAATTTCATAATGATTTGCTAAAATTTTACTGTCACATTTACTTTAGCCTTCAGCCTGATCATTTTTCACAGTCCTTTACATGAAAATATGATTCACCTGTGATGTATTTCTCCCTGTCGTAAAACTTTTAAAATGTCCCAGAAAAATGAAGTAACTCTTATTCACGTTACTTTAGTTTGCTCATTTTCTACATTTTTTTTTTTTCCAACATTTTAATTTTGTCTACTTTCTTTCACTGCAAATGATACGTGCTACAGTTAAACTCAGAGGAGACTTCATGGAGATTCAGTCTCCTGCAAGGTAACAACGAGCAAACCCTCCCAGGC